TGGGACTACCTGCAGGGAAAGAGTATGAAGACAGGACTATTTCCTGCTATTTCAGCTGTTAACTTTATTTTCTCTCTAAGTGTTTTTCTCCCCAGAAGAAGCTACAACGATGTTCTGCTGAGCTGTGGTGGCCTCATGGAGGGGGCCATCGTCTAGCACACTGCTGCTAACCACTTAAACATTCTCCCTCTCCTGATAATAACTTTTTGCTCTCTTTGACGTTGGATGTGCTACTACTAGTTTACCCGTTTAATTATAGATCCACTAGGATAAATACAATAAAGTTTATCTCTCGCCTTCTTCTTCCGGCTCTTGGAGAGTGCAGACGCTTTTTTCCTCCTCTCCTCCCTATCTTGTCCCCAAGGCTCTTTGTCTGTCTTTGGGTGCACGGAGCTTCTACATTTTTTCTGGAAACTGGAAATGATTAAAAGTGGACCTGGTCAGCTGGTCTTTCAACGCAATTGACAACATTTTTTCAAAGATGAGAACGGGAGAAGGGCTCCCGAGTACCCCTCTGGGACAGATCCAGCTGGTCATATCATGGACTCCTGGAAACAGTGGAACCTGATTTGCTTATCTCAGCTGTCTGTGGAGGATTCTGAAGACGTCTGGATATCCGTGGTGTTGGTGTCAGGTTTCCTGCTCTTTGGCCTTGGAGGTTACCCGGCTTACCGGAAAATTAACGAGCTGTCGAGGAATATTGGCTCGCTCCCAGAGCTCAGGGATGGATTGCACCACGCTGTGAATTCACTGACTCATATAATTGTTGAGATGAGTCGTGAGCTTTGGCTGAGATTCATGTGTTGGCACAAAAGATGGATGCCATCAAGGAGCGAGTGGACGGAGCAGCACGGATTGGGATAGATTAATTACGCCATTATTGGATCTAGAGAGGTTGAGGACCAACAGAACTTTAAGACAGAGAGGAAATTATCTCTGTCTGGCCCCCAAAACAATTTCTCATCTGAAAATGGTGCCCTTGAGCCTGTGAGGCTGAAACTAATACCCCCCCCCCCCCCCCCCCCCCGAAAAATGTGGAATGCTGCCGTCGCCATGGCAACTCTGTCTCCCTATCGCAGCCTGGGCGGGACTGCGGGCTGCGAAGGCTGCTGAATCGTTCCAGGAGTCACTGTGCCCTCCAAACCTCAACGACCTCCTTCCCCTGTCCAGACTGAGGTGATGAGCGCTGCTTATCGTGGCTGCAGGTACTGACGTGTGGAGAGTCCCAACCCACCACCCCACCTAGTGGACACTTGTGTTGTGTAATGTCTGAAGTTTGTAGCATTTCTGTCTGAGGAGTGTTTTGCAGAGCAAAGCTGCCCTCCCTGTGGAGGGTAACTCTGAAGTGCCTTTTTTTCCTCCACCCGACCCCATCCTCATATAAACCCTCTGATCTCTATTAAGGTAGAGCGACTCGGGTTGTGAATGACCACAGCCACCAATTCTTGTCATGTGTCTATGTATGTATGTCTGATCTCAGAATTGTGTGTACTGAAACTCTAATTTCCCTCTGGGATTAATAAAGTATCTTTGAATTTGAATATTTAATAAGAAATCACAATGTAACCATAGAAACACTACTTGGAATATGTGTGTGTGTTTGTGTGTGTGTGTGTGTGTGTGTGTGTGTGTGTGTGTGTGTGTGTGTGTGTGTGTGTGTGTGTGTGAGTCGTGGAGGATGGCTGCTTATACTGAGCCAGGATTCTCTGGAGGTTTCTTCCTGTTAAAAGGGAGTTTTCCTCTCCACTGTCGCTGCATGCTTGCTTAGTATGAGGATTGCTGTAAAGACTCTGACACTAGTCAGTGACTCGATGCAACCTGCTGGGTTCCTTATATAGGAAACGTGTTACTGACTGGTTTAATGACCTGACCTGTGTTGGAATGTTTACTGTGTGAAGGTCCTCGAGACGACTCTGGTCCTGACTTGGTGCTTTATAAATAAACTGAATTGAATTCAATTCAATTAGGGATGGCAAAGAGAAGTGGACCCAGTACAGAACTCTGTGTCACACCCCACTTGCACAGCCATTGTAGGCCGCCATGGTAATTCTAACCCAGTTTGAAGCCGATCCAGCAGTCTAAGTCAAGCCCCCACAATGCAGCTCTAAAATTGAGTCAAACTCGGAAATGAAATAAATTGCAGTTCCACCCTCATCCACTAGGGGCTGGTGTCAGAAGCGAGCAAATCCTCATTGACTCCCATGTTAAAAATACCAATTTCACAGCAGAAATAAACATGTTTACAGCCTGGTACCAGAACATGTTTTTGGTTTAAATGATCTAGTTTACACTCATGACAACTCTGAGGGGGTGAATGTTTTTCTCACTCTTCTGTTTAAGTGTATTAAAAGCCTAAAATTCTGTATAATTAATGAGCATCAGACCCACGTGACCACAGAGCTAGCTCCGTGGAAAGGCCTCAGTAGAGCCTCGGTCTGGCCTGGAAACTGCTCCGGGATTTTGAGTCTCTGTGTGTGTGTATTCTTGTTTGGATATTATT